CCAGCCCGAAACGTGCTTTTCTTTATTGGGAAGGTGGCATGTCCTGTAGTGAAAATATGCAAAACACAAGAAGATGGTTTGCTTGCTTTCTGTTCAAGACTAGCCTTCTACTACTTGAGCCACAGCTCCACTTCAGGCTTTTTTTTTTTCTGGTTAATTGGAAATAAGAATCTCATAGACTTTCCTGTCTGGGCTGACTTTGATTATAGACCCTCAGACCTCAGCCTCCTGAGTAGCTAGGATTACAGATGTGAGCCACTGGCCCCCAGCTATGCATTCCCTTCTTTGTTGAAGTTGAAACTGTCAATTTGCTTATCTGTGGTGGTGATATCTTTTTCTGGTGAACTATTGAAAATAGTACCTTCAAATCAAACTTTCTGGGATGTTCAAAATAGCTTATATCTGTCTTGTCCACTGGCTCTTAGCCAAATGTAAGTATAAAGCACTTGAAATGTTCATTTAAATTTGGATTTACTTAAAGGTGTAGTTTAAATCTAAGTATGATGTTAACTTGTAGCTATTGTGTTTGACAGCTCATTCCTAATTTCTTAATTACGTATCGTCATCTTGATGGGAGATTTTTAAAAATTGATTTGGATGAGCTCTTTATTTATTATGGTTGTTACTCTTTGTCATATCTGTTGCAAACAATTTCCCAAGGTTGTTATTTGACCTTTACGTGTTCATTCGTGCTGCTTTGCAGCGTATCAAAATGTTAGATCTCCACATCTGTCGATTGTTTCTGTTGTTTTTGCCTTTGGTTAGACAGGCCTCCCCCGTCAGGGGCTGCTCAAGTCTTTCTGTGATTTTTCTCCCTGTATCTAGTTCAGAATTAATGTCCTTGTAAGACATGAGGTTTGGTGTCTGAGTCGTCTCTGTGTGGTGTAGGAGATGTACTGAGTATGTTTGCGTACTTTTTTTTATCTCACTTGGGAATCTGTGGTGTTCTGGTTGGGGAAGCAGGGTAAAATTTAATAGTAGGTCAAACACTACTATTTTTTACTTTTTTGGGTCCGGTTGTGGGACCTGAGCGCTGTCCCTCAGCTCTTCAGCTCAAGGCTAGCGCGCTACCGCTTGAGCCATAGCACCACTTCTGGCTTTTTAAATTTTCTGGTTATGTGGTGCTGAGAAATCGAACCCAGGGCTTCATGCATGCAAGGCAAGCGCTCTACCACTGAGCTACCTTCCCAGCCCTTTTTTATTTTTAAAATGTATTAATTTAGTACTGGTCCTGGGGCTTAAATTCAGGGCTTGGGCTGTCCCTTAGCTTTTTGGCTCAAGGCTAGAGCGCTACTATTTGAGCCACAGCTTCACTTTGGCTAGTTAATTACAGATAAATAATCTCATAGACTTTCTCAAAGGCTTTGAACTGTGATCCTCAGATCTCAGCCTCCTGAAGAGCTAGAATTATAGGCACGAGCCTCTAGCACCTGGCTTACCCTTATTGTTTGGTTAATTGTATGTCTTTAAATGCTTTTGATGTTCGTGAAATCTTTAATGACATCATTAATGACCTGAGAAAATGTCTCTGATACAATGTTGTTTTCTAACATACAAAATCATACCTACAGTCAAATATCAACCATGCTTAAAGAATGCAACAAAAATATGAAATCAAATCGCTCTCCCCTTCCCCCAAGTTTGGTGCTGTACCACCTGAGCCGCTTCTCCACGTCCAACGTTTTGCCCATTAGCTGGAGATAAGAGTCTCTTGGATTTGTGTGCCAGGCTGGCTTTGAACTGCTTTAGCCTTCTGAGTAGCTAAGATTAAAGGCATGAACCATGGATGCCTGACCCCAAATTTTAACTATGTGGTTGGCCTCCCCTTCCTTCCCCTTTCTTTCCCTAGGTTCCCAAGCCCAGTGTGGACTCATCCACTCATGAAAGAAGAAAACTGAAGCCCAGAAATGCTGAGCCAGATCCTGCCTACAAAGCTGGGCAGAGCCCAGTGCAAGTCATAGATTCAGATTCTACCTTTCCCAGCAGTGGGGGCAGGGAGGCATTTCCGCAGGCCTCTGGGCCTAGGCTGCGTTGTTCCCTGAGCTCTGGAGACCAGCGAGGAATGCACAGCCAGCAGCCTTCTCTGTGCTCACTCTAACTTCCTACCCTGCTACAGAAGCCAGCCTCCCTGCCCTCCCCCATCGATCCCCCAAATCTCTCCCATGCCCAGCATGTGCTGGATGGCATCCCCACTGCAGACCTGCTTAGCTGGTGGCCTGTGGGTCAGGCCCCAGCCCCAGCTGATGGCAGCCTATCTCTCCCAGGTGGAGCTGTCTCAGCCTATCTATCTTCCTGACACAATGCAGGGCCACCTCCTGTGGAGTCAGGACATCTCCAAGGTCTTGCCTTGGGTAGGCCCTATTTCCCTCCTGGCTGCCACCCCTAGCTCAGGAGGAAGTGGCTGCTCTCTCTGATCCCTGTTTGTCAGGGTGACACTCATGTGAGGGACCTGTCATCTTGGGGCCCTGAGGCTTTACCACTGACAAGTCTGGGGTCTGGCGCAGAGGGGGCCTGTGAGAAGCGGTGAGAGTATTGATCTTTCTAAGGTGGGTGCAGCTCTTCTGTTTGATATACTACACATATGGGTAAAGGCCAGGTGTAAAACGATTCATAGAATATAGGAAAGAATTAAAAAAAGAACGTTCCTGCTGGATCACACCTGTAACCCTAGCTGTTCAGGAGGCTGAGATCTGACCATCTCGGTTTGAAACCAGCCTGGGGAGGAAAGTCCATGAGATTCTTATTTCCAAAGAACCACCAGAAAGCTGGAAGTGGTGCTGTGGTTCAAAGTGGTAGAGTGCTAGCCTTGAGCAAAAGAGCTCAGGGGCAGCGCCAGGCCCGGAGTTCAAGCCCTATGACCTCCCACTCTCCCCCGCACCCCCATCCAAAAAAGAGAATGTTCCCTTTGGGCCCACGCTGACACTTGTGCACGTAACGCCCTGTGTTCACGACAGCCGCCCCTGGCCACTCCCTTCCCTGCCTCTCAGCTGTGCTGCAGAGAGGAGAGCCACACATTGGTCCCCGAGCCATCTGCCCATTGTCCCCACCAGCCTTTCGTCCTGGTCATCTGCCGTCTATGTGTGGATTGGGCTCCCTGCACCCCTCTCTAGCCAAGGAGAGAGGCTGATAGGCATCCACGGTGCCCAGCCTTGGAAGCAAGGTCATGCCGTAGCCCAGGGCCTCCGAACCACGTCTGTCACCCACCACAGACTCTTGTCCCCAGGCCTGGCAGTGACTGTCTGGGTCCCACAGGACTTCTACCACCCCATTGCTCTTCTCTTTGAGAAAGGATGTTTGTGTGTCCACTGCACTTCCGGAAACAGCCTTGCCTCATGTGTGTGTGTGTGTGTGTGTGTGTGTGTGTGTGTGTGTGTGTGTGTGTGTGCACAACAGTCCACCCTGGGCACAAGGACAGACAAGGGGGCAGGATGAGTCCCCGGGTCCTCGGCCTCAGAACCCAAATCAGGCTGAGTTTCCCTATCACCGATCAGCACATTTCTGGGTGTAGACAGATACGTGTTGTGATTTTAAACAACACAGCCACACTCCAGCTCCGGAAGTACATTTTCATCCTTCTAGAAGGTTCTCTCCCTTCATTTAGCCTTCAGCCAGGAGCTTAGCCTTGTACTAGCTTTGTATCAGCAACTACAGCTCTGCCTCCTTCTCGTCTGCTCCACTGGTGACTGTCTCTCTGTGAAATTCATTGAGGGTTGGTTTGTTTGTTTTTAGTCCCAGTGCCAGCGTTTGAACTCAGGGCTTACCCTCTTGCTTCTCTTTCTCGCTCAAGGTTGGTGCTCTACCACTTGAGTCACAGCTCCCCTGCTGGCTTTTTACTGCTTAATTGGAGATAAGTGTCTCATGGACTTTCCTGCCCCAGGCTGGCTTTGAACCACAATTCTCAGATCTCAGCCCCCTGAGTAGTTCAGATTACATGTGTGAGCCACCAGCATCATCATGTATTTAATGTAGAGAGAGTTGTGCGTTTTATTCTTCTATTGCTGTGTTGTGTTCCATTGTATGAGTAGCTACATTTTAATCCGTGCTGTCAGTCTTGTTGTAAGCTACAGGAAATCCTTCACGTGGGGCCTTAACAGAGCCTGACACTGAGCATGACAGTTTGTTGAGTGAGTGATTGAATGAGTAAATGTGTTAGTGGACTCTAGCCTTAGCAGGTGCTAGTCATAGGGTGGTCGCCATGTTCATGGTCTGCCTCTCAGTCCCACTGGGAGCTTCTGTTAAAAATGAGTGGTTTCCAGGCACTGGTGGCTCATGCCTATAATCCCAGCTACTCAGGAGTGGCTAGCCTGTAATTCTAGCTACCAAATAGATGGAAGTGGAGCTGTGGCTTAAAGGGTAGAGTACTAGTGAAAAAGCCAAGCAAGAGTGAATGGCCTGGAGTTCAAGCCCTAGTACTTGCACATGCACATGTACACACACACACACACACAGCGTTGTTGCTATGCAAATTTCTAGGATGACTCTGAAGTCCGCAGTCCTTGACCTGCCCCTCTGCTGCTTCAGATCCGTAGGAAACCACTACGTGTTACAGTCTTGGTTGCTTGAGCCCCGAGTGCGGCTATCTCCGCCTGGGGTGGGAAGAAGGGGTGAGGGCCTTCTACATCACACAGTGTGCAGCTGTGTGTGCGACGGGGATGAGGGACCAAAATGAAGAGGCCGGATCCCAGAGCTTTGAAGTGTGACCGTGGCCATACCATTGCCCTCTCTGGGCCTGACTGTAGTACCAATCTCCTGGGGCTGCTGTTCTTCCACTTGTGGGTTGGAGAAGCAGGTGATCTTTTGAATGCCTCCTCTCCCCTCTCCTCCTGTTGTCTGCTTGGGGGCCCAACACTGCCATCCTAGAATCACATCTCCAAGCAGAACGCTAGCACTGAGCCCAACCTGATGCCAGTAACAGCCCCCACCCACCCTCTGGGCTCTGCCCTCTACAGATCTTTTGATGGTCACATGTGAAATGAGGAAGCGGCTAGATCTCGAGTGAAGTTGTATCGAAATGAATCCATCAAGGGGAATGGGATCTCGATTCTCTCTCTTCCGTGGTCGCCGGTTCCTGGGGGGAAACATAAAAGGTGACAGGGTGCTTTCAGGAGGAGACGGGAGGAGATGGACGTCATTGGAGTCAATAGAAAGTGGGCATCGGCTCTCAGCACGATCAGACTGAAACCTGCCAAACAGTATGGAATCTTGGAGGGTTCTAGAAGATGGTTTTTTTTTTTCTTTTTCATTTTATCCAGGCTTCAGCTCAACTTAATCTTGCTAGGGTAGGATTTGAGAGTTTAGGAAAGAGTCATCTCCTGCCTCCTGAAATACCACCCCTGGAGACTTATTCCTTGATATTCCTTCCTGTCAAAGGAGGAAAAGACAGGGACTCTGTGTGTGTGTGTGTGTGTGTGTGTGTGTGTGTGTGTGTACATGTGCGTGCCAGTACCGGGACTTAAACTGGCTTGGGTACTGTTCCTGAGCTTCTTTCGCTCAAGGCTAGTGCTCTACCACTTGAGCCAGAGCTCCATTTCCAGCTTTTTGGTAGCTTATTGAAGATAAAAGTCTCGCAGTCTTTCTTCCTGGGCTGGCTTATTTCATCTCTCCTTGGTTGTAGCCACCTAGTGGGGCGGAGCATCTGTTCTTCCATCATGCCAACAAACCCTTGACCCGGAAGTGAATGGAAGTAGCTTACTAAATGGATGGCCTGGAAACCTTATGCCTTATTATTATTATTATTATTTTACCATGAGGGCAAAAGGCCATGCTTCATATAGCAGCACAACAGGGTAGGCTTGACTGGGTCTCTTAGAAGCCCCCACCCACATTCTTAGAAGCAAGGAAACAGGAAGTGAAGTGGGCAGACACTGACCAACCTGGTTTTCAGGCAGATGGGAATAAAGAGGACTGAGCGAGATCCTTCTCTTTCTGGGCTTTTTTGGGGGTGAGGGGTGAGGGGGTGAGTCATGGTGTGTCATTGCCTTTTTTTCTTCAATGTGATTTTCAGTTTCCCAAGCATGAAGCACTGAAACTCTTTTTACTACAAGTTGTGCAATAACAAATGACTAGCCTGGAACAGGACGATGTTGGGTGTCTGGTAAGTACCTGGGAGTTTTCTTTGCTCACAGTGGGGTTGGTGGCTGAGCCGTGGGGCCTTACAGGGCGGTCTGTGGCCCCAGAGAGTAGCAATCCGGAACCTCAGAGCCCTGATTAATAGTCTTTTGCCTTTGAGCTGGGAGCTTAAAAGACAACACCTTCTCTGTGGTCGCAATCAAGATGCAAGGATAGAGTCAGTCCCTTGTCCCCCGGCTCCTGAGAGTCTCAGCCAGCCCACTGTGGCACGTTTTGAGGGTGCTGTGAAACTCGATCGTCATCACAAGAGAACAATCAAGTGGGGGGTATGAATTTGTGATCCTGCACGACTCTTGTTTCTTGCTGGCTGGGGCGCCTGCCGGAAGCCACCTCAGTGAGAACCAGGCCGAGCTTTTGAAGGGCCTGTTATGTCTTTGCTAGGAATCATGGAGGTTCTTTTTTCTTTTTTCATTTTCTATTATTCTAAAAATGGCCTGGGACTTTTTCTGTGTGTGGGTCTTGATACCATGTTAAGTGATTTTTCAGGAGGTCTTGTGGGAGTTGAGTGGGGTGCCTAAGGACAGAATCTGAACCTTGCCTCAAAGTTTTATTCCATTGGTCAGTTCCGAGTCTGTCTATCATTGGTTCAAGCGATGCCTGTGGATAAAAGGAGGGATTTGGAATCAACCAAATCTCATCTTTCTTGAACTAATTTGTTGGATAAATTCTTTTAGATTTCTGAGCCCCGAGTCTTCCTCTTTGATGCTTCTTTGGTGATGGAGGATCAGAGGATGGTTAGTTACGTGCAGACAGGTGCAGGCAGGTTGGCCAAGAAGCTGGAGAAGGTGAACTGCGGGGTCCCGCACTTGCTTGGCCCTTACCTAGTCTTATTTGCTTTTTCACTCAAGGCTAGCGCTCTAACCCTTGAGCTGCCGTTCCACTTCCGGCTTCCTGGTAGTCAATAGGAGATAAGAGTCTAATGGACTCTTATCTGCCCAAGCTGACTTTGAACTATGATACTCAGACCTCAGTCTTCTAAGTAGCTAGGATTAAAGGCATGAGCCACTGATGCCAGGTGAAAACTGTTTTGTTTCTTAAAAGAATTATTTTGTTATTATAAAGGTGATATACAGAAGGATTATAGTTACATAAGTCAAGTAAAGAGTATATTTCTTTTTGGACAATGTCACCCCTTCCCTTGCTCTCTCCCAATTCCAAAAAATTTCTTTTTAAGTCATGTTAATTCTGAACATGTACAAACCATTTTCTTGTTATTATTCTCTAAAAAACAGTATAACACGTATCTACATGGCACCGAAGTTTTCTTAGATTGTTATTCATAATCTTGAGATGACCTAAACTCTGTAGGAGGATGTGTGTCAGTTTTATGCAAATGATTCTATCATTTTATCTCTAGGACTTGAGCAGTTGTGGATTTTAGTGTCCCTTGCTGATCTGAGGGACAGCTGTGTGTCAGTCAGTACAGTGGAGTAGGAAGTAGCCCCTCAGGACTCCGGGGGATGGTGGACACAAAGCTTACAAATTTAGATGGCCATTGGGGCAGGCAGGTAACTGTGTTGTGTGAGTCTGGCCAGGTACAAACCAATAGGGAATGAGTCCTTCAGTTCAAACACTCCAAAACTCTCACAAGGCATGTCATACAGGGCATTATTATTATTATCATTATATTATTATTATTTGCCATGAGGCTTGAACTCTGGGCCTGGGCACTGTCCCTCAGCTCTTCAGCTCAAGGCTACCACTTGAGCCACAGCGCCACTTCCTGCTTTTTCTGCTTATGTGTTGAGGAATGGAACCCAGTGCTTCATGCATGTAAGGCAAGTGCTCTACCACTGAGCCACCTTCCCAGCCCCAGGGCATCTTATACATGGTAAAAAAAACCCAACCAAACAACCTTCCATGCCATCACGGTCTTGTCCAAGGTCAAGTTGGATTATGAGTGAGTCTCTGTGTTGCTTGTTGTAAGTTAACAAGCCTTGACCTTTGAATCTGCGGTGTTATAGTTAATTACTGAATGTGGTTGGACAATATCCTTACTTGGTGTAGGAGGAGGCTGAGGCCCAGGGAGTTTGGACATCTTTGACGCCATGTTGGGTGAGCTTAGGTTCATGTTGCATGCCTAGGAGTCTTGATTTGCACCCATGCCGCTATTGATAGTCCTTTCTGGATGTCCTACCATCACTATTGAGGGTCCACTTTTCTCCCCCAAAATGTCCTGACTCAGGGGCTCAGTCACAGTACACATGTGAGGCCTTCTGGCCCAGTCCTTGGCACTAAGTGCCCCGATGATGTATTGGTGCTCTTCCCCATCTCGCTCTGCATGAGAAAGACTCGTGTGTGTGTTTGTGTGTGTGTGTGTGTGTGTGTGCTGCAATGAAGCTTCCTGAGAACAGCACAGGCTGGCCATCTGCCTGAACCCTTTGAATCTTAGTCCTGTCATTTACCCTGAGTTATTTAACCTCTCTGAGCCTCAGTTTCTCTGCCTGTAAAGTGGAAGCAACACAAGTTGGTTGGAGGAAGGACCAGGGAGAGGATACACTGCCTAGCACACAGCATGCAGCCAAAGCATTCTTGCAGTAGGGTAGGAATCGGATATCACTGACCTTGTGTAGACCAGGTCACACACGCATTTTGCAGTGAGTCCACCCCTGGCCAGGTGTGGTGAGGAGTGAGCACTGCCCGGAGCAAGCCCGCACGCTCCCCCTCCTCCCCCGGCTCTGGAGTGCTGGTGCTGGGCCTCTGGCTGGGGAGGTGGGGGGTGCGGCTGGGGTTCCGATCTTTGTGGCTTGGAGTTGTTGTGCTTGTTTCGCTGAAGAGGCGGTTTGGAGCTGACTGGAGGGGGCTGGCAGGCTGGCTGGGGCGCACTTGGGATCTGACTAAGATGTGTTTTCCTGGAGACTAATGGGGCTGTCAAGATGTAGCCGGGGTGCCGGGGCCAGGAAGGCTGAAGCCAGGGAGCTGGCCGGCCCACAGGTCCATGGCCTTACGCAAGCCGGCCAGGGAAAATCCACAGGGCATATAACCTCTGCTTCTTTTGTTGGGGGAGTGTCCAGTACAATAATCTCTCAGCCTATGTACCGTGCAAACCGGTTGAGTCCGCGTTCTGGGGTGGGCACGAGCACAAGGCACTTTTTGAACAGCCTGGGTTCTAGGCAGTGGCTCTGAGCTTGGTCCTCAACACCCCTGTCATCCTAGCTACTCAGGAGGCTGAGATCTGAGGATCAAGGTTCGAAGCCAGCCCAGGCAGAATGGTCTGAGCCTCTCGTCTCCGATTAATCATCAAAAATCTGGAAGTGGAGCTGTAGCTCAAGTGGTAGAGTGCCAGCACTGTCACTGTCTAGGTCCCGAGTTCAGATTTGTGTACAAACACACACACACACACACACACACACACACACACACACACAGTCTGAAGGAGCATTTGTGAGTAAGACTGCTAATTGCCCTTGTAAGCACACAAGGGGAATGCTGGAGAAGCACTTTGTAGGCCATTAGGAGACCCCTTGGGTACAGGTCGTAACTGCTTCCTTATACTGACAAATGAGTCTTGCAGCAGCTAGTTGTAGTACTGGCCCCTTGGGCATCAAAGACAGTGGTTAGATTGGGGACAGTACCTCTGGGGGCTTCAGGGAGCTCATGTGGGCTCTGCCTGGGCCAGGGCTCATAGACAATGGTGGAGCGGCCAGCGCTCCGTGGCTCATAGCTCTGGGTGGGCGGCCAGAGCCATCAGGTACCACCTTCATGACTTCCAGGGTGTGTGTGTGTGTGTGTGTGTGTGTGTGTGTGTGTGTGCGTATGTGTGTGTGTGCGCACGCGCGCGCATGCACGCACGGATGTATGCACTAGTATTGGGGTTCGAACTCAGAGCCTGAGCATTCTTAGTGTTTTCACTCAGAGGTACCTCTACCACTCGAGACCACTTTCACTTCCACGTTTTTGGTGGTTGATTGGTGATAAGAGTCTCCTGGACTTTCCTGCTGGTGCTGGCTTTAATCTTCATCCTTAGATCTCAGTCTCCTAAGTAGCTAGAATTACAGGCATGAGCACCAGATGGTGGCTTGGCGCACGCGGTGTTTTTGTTTTGTGTTGTTGCTGCTGAAATGCAGGTCTTCCATTTCCAGGCCAGAGATTCTGCTCAGTATGTCTGGGGTGGGGCCAAGCCACCTACATTTTCCCAAATGCTCTTAGGAAAGCATTATCTGGGTGATTTCCTTCCTTTCCCTCACCCCTAATTCCCTCCTTCTCCTCATTTACTTTACTTAGCAGAAATGGCCCAGGTTTGAGTCCTATAGGCTACTTACAGCTGTGTGACCTAGGACATAGCTGAAAGTCTCTGAGCCTGTGGTTCTCCTCATCTCCGAAACAGAGCACAATTTGGGGCTCAACACAAATCAACCAGTGTTTGTTTCTTTGTGCTAGGTGTATGTGTGTGGCTCTTGCCACTCAATCTGTGGCTTCTCCTGGACCCTGCACGCCACCCCCATCCCCCCAGGGGCCCCACCCTTCCTCTCTTGGGCTTTCAGGCCAGCTTTGTATCAAGGTGTTCCCAGGGACACCGGAAGGAGCTCTGAGTTGGGCAGAGCCAGCTCTGGGCCTGAGTGGCAGATGTCAAAGATCAAATGGGGTCTGACATGCCAGGCAGTGGGACAAACAGCACACAGCTCCGGCCAGAGAAGGGACTCGGAGGAGCTGGGTGTGTCTCCAGGCCCGCTCTCGATCTGCAGGGTGTCTTCCAAGGGGCAGGGGTAGGGGCGGAGGGTAATGACAGGGGTAGTTTGTTGAGCCCATAGCCAGGTATGAGGGGACACTTTGGGCCTAACATATCCAAGCCTCAGCTCAGCTGTGAGATGGACCTGGAGTTCTCTGCATTGTAGAAACACAGGGACGAAGGCCCAGAGACCTAGATTGCTTGTCTGTGTGTGCAGCGCAGGGTGGAGGGCTGAGGGGACCCCCTTGGTCCCTGTGTATAGTGTGAGATCACCTGTTCTCTGCCTCAGCCTGATT